CGTGCAGGTTCCCTGCCCCTTCCGTGGACGTCAGCGCATGGCGCCAGCTATCAGTTCTGAGCGCATGGACGCACCCCATCCCAACCACAGATCCCAGAATTCGATCCCAAGCGCACGCCCTGTCAAGGTCGGAGTTGTTGGCATCCCTATGTAAAAAGGCCTTGCTTTTTTACAGTTATTTGCCCTTGAGCTCGTACTTGTCGAGGTCCGTGGGAGCTGCACAGAGCGCGTGCACTCGTCGTACGAGCATGCAGTAGAGGGCTTGTTGCGTTGATGCTAAATCATGACGGCCTTGCTATGAATGAGCGGCGGCGGGCTACAAGACGACTGCATTGCATTTGCTAAGGCTTGCCATCAAGCCGCGGCGAGTGCTTTTAATGTGGGCAATTCGGCGCTGCGGTCCAACGTGGTATGTGCCGGTGCTGCCACAACACCTGGCCATGGTGGATACAAACAACGTCAACTTGATACATTGATTCCGCTAAATGCGCAACACGGCACGTCAGAGATGACTTTGATATAAAATATATCAAAATCAACTTGATGACTCGGGGTCCGGCGGGTTATTACCGGAATTCCCACTATGGGTTTCTTTTTTTATGTGGTCCATCGCCAAGGTACTTACTTGATCGACCGGCAGCTTGTGATGTCTTCCCACTACTCCCGCGGAGCGCGATGAGCTCGGGCGATCGCATTCCGTCTGGCAGTGCTGCAAGGAGGACGGCGACGTCGCGCTCATCCTTCACCATGGCGAGGATGTCATGCAGCACAGCACATGGCAGGCTCGCCGACGTGGCACGCTGGCAGCGGCGCTTGGTCATTGTTGCTATTATATTAATAATTTGGAGCACCAACCTCTACCATTTTATATTCTGTGTATCGGATGTGAAGGGTATGACGTGGCGCTTGGATATTCCAGTAGAGTCCACATCGGATGATCTTGCAGACGGGCAACTTGTTGTCGTACAACGCGTTGGCGTGGAAAGCCAGTGAGCTAAAGAACGAAGTCAAAAGCTTTGCGAGCGTTGCACTACGCTGGAATGCGTGCGACTTCTACTTAAGAACGTGTCACTCACTACATGTCAGACAAGCCTGCGCTCGAGAAAGCCAGACTGTTACCCATTAAAAAAATGGAGTTAAACGCCATGCCATCGTGACGATTGGCGCGATGGGGACGTCAGGACGCCGGGCTGCACCTGCACGAGCTGGTGCAGCTTCATATGCTTTCGGGTGCCGTCGGTGTAGCGGCGCATGCCCACATGTAGCGTCATGTTGTGGCTCGCGCCCAGCATGGCCAAGAAGAGCTTTGTCGACGCCTTCAAGAAAGGGTTCGCCCGCACATTGACCGTGAGCGGCCGTCGGTTCGTGCCCGAAGCGAGAGCAACGACAAGAATCGCAGCATCGTCGTCACAGAGATGTGTCGCGCGGAGATTCAACACCTCAAGGCCTCTTGCCATCCACGCCGGCAGCGCCCGCGCCAGCTCGACAAACCCAGCCGTACCGAGCGGCGTGCAGTCCAAGTTGACGTCCTTCAGGCTGCGTGAGGTCGAGAGCCACTGGATGAGCTTGACGGCGTCGCCAGGTGTCTTGAACGTCGTATCCCGCACGGCGACCGTCGACAAGTGCGACCAGGTTCCAGTCGTTGTGATCGGAGCTATGTGGACGCGGACAAGCCGGAGTCTCCGGAGCGCGGGGCACAGCGCGAGTGTGTCGAGCACACTGGTTTCGGGCCGGTTGACACCGCCGTCGCCATTGTTGCCCTGGCCTTCGAAACGATCAAAGATGATCGTATGGACCTTGGTGCGATCGAGCTTCGTGACCAAGCCGAGGGTAGCACCGTTGCCGAAACGCGATTCCACGACGGTGAGCGATGCGATGTGCGTCAAGGGCTTTGGCGATGCCACCAGCGCTTCTTGAACGTCGGCAAATATTAAATTCTAGCGGATTTTCAATTAATATCTAGCGGATCCTCTCTAGGATCCATTCCTCGCAAACTGTGCGGCGTGCGTCCTCGTGAGCCTCGGTGCCGCTTGCCAAGGAGTAGTCGCTGGTACTCCAGCGACTCCGACAGCGGTTGCGTGAGCCGTGCGGCGAGGACGACCTCTGGCGGCGTCGATGCCAAAAAGGACATAAAGTCCGATTGTAGGACGACAACGAAGCATGCCGCTCGAGCAACCTGCGTGATACAAGCGACTACTCCGTGGCAAGCGACACGTAGTCTGACGAGGACGCACGCAGCACAGTTTGCGAGGAATCGGTCTTAGAATGAAATCCGCTAGACGATTCAGTGAAAATCCGCTAGAATTTAATTATCACCCTCTTGAACGTCCATCGCGCCCAAGAGGCTCAAGGTTCTCAGCGTAGCGCATGCTTGAATCGCATCGACGAGCGCCGACGGGTCGTGCACGGAAGAGCACCCAAGTGTCAACGACGTTACACGAGGTTCTTGGAGCCATGCAACCATCGCAGACGTGTCCATTGAACCGTATGCTGTGGTAATCGTCGTGAGCGTATGCAAATGCTGCTTTGGAAGCGCTGCCATGTACGTCGCCGTGTCGGATGTCGTGGCGTCTTGGATCGTCGCTGTCTGGACGTTGACGCAGCGTCCGAGGAGATGCGGAATCAGGTCCGGCTGCACTAAACGGCCTTTAACGATGACACTCGTGACGCGGTCGCCCCACGCATAGGCAAAGGCGCTTTGCAGGCCGAGCACAGACGGGTCCACGACCAGCGTCAGTGGCATCCTCGGCGGCAAGGTCGCATCCAGCCACGCGAAGGCGGCGATGCCAGCGTCAATGTAGATACCGGTGAATGCAGGTAGCGCGGCCATGCCAAGGCGCGCATGCTCGATCGGCATCGTGGTGATGTTCACGACTGGCCAGTGGTCGGCGAGGTCGACGACGGCGCCGAGGTCGCGGAGCGCAGCGAGCTCGGGCGATAGCATCTCGTCTGACAGCGCTGCAAGGAAGGCGGCAACGTCGCGTCCATCCTTCAGCATGGCGAGGATGCCATGCAGCACGACATATGGCAGGCTCGGCGACGTGGCACGCTGGCAGACGCGCTTGGTCATCTGTGGTCGCGGCAAAATGGATAAGTACCTCTACGAATGGATCGACCAAGGTATTCAATTTGGAGGGGATGACGTGGCACTTGGAGCTGCAAGGAACATCCAAATGGCGCGTACTACTCGTAGCAATTAACAGGTCCCGTGCGGGGTGAGCTGGTAGGAACTTTTGAATGCGAAGCGATGTTTACCGGTATTTGCGACGACGGCGCGTTGGCCTAAACAAAAGTCAACACGCGACCTTCGCTGCCCTGCGGTGCGCAGACTTTTCCCGGGCCAACGCGCCGTCGTCGCTTGCTGCAGTCCTCGCGCGCTTTCACATTCGCACCTAATCGGAAAGTTGCGTGAATTTCAGTCAAGTGCGTGCTGGACTGGGATCTTGGTCACATGGACAACAGGCCAGTGGTCGGCGAGGTTGATGGCGGCGCCGAGGTCTCGCAGCGCAACGAGCTCGGGCGGCAGGGTCAACGGCGGCTGCGCAGCAAGGAAGGCGGCGACGTCGCAGCCATTCTTGAGCATGCGGAGAATGCGATGGAGGGCAACGCCTGGGAGGCTCGACGAGCTCGTGGCACGCTGGCAGACGCGCTTGGTCATCGTCGAAATTGCTGGCGAGTGAGTTTCACCTCTAAAATTCGATATGTGGATCGATTTTGTAGGGTGATGACGTGGCGCCAGGACATGCAAGGCCATATTCCATTGGCATTGTCACTTAGATATACTATACATAGTACGTATGGACAAGTTAGATGTGCTTTTGTGTTAACGTTAATGTTAGGTGAGGGATTAGTCTTCTTTCGTTAGGTGAGGGATTCGTCTTCTTTTGTTTGCGGAATCCATGGGTCCGCTATAGCCGAGGCTGCAATGGACGTCGAAGAGAACGAGAATGCGGCCATTCTGTGCACGCCCAGCGTCGAGTATCAACACATCTGGCGTGCGTCCGACATCTTGTTTTTGTATGCGCATACTCAGTTTTATACGATCTTGGTGCCCTCCCGCGACAAATGCACCCAGAGCCAATGCACGCAGAGTCTTATGTCTGTAGCAAGGAAAGAGTACACTACTCCCTTGGTCTGTCGCACGTGCGACACCAACGGCAGAAAGGCGCCAGACGACAGCCCACATTCGAGAGACGCTGTCAAGTCCGCTGCAATGCATTGGCGCGTTGAGCACTCGAGTCAATGCCACAGCGATGTGATAGGCGACGGCGCCTTAAAGACACCAGACGACACCTCGTAAGGCTGGTGCAGGCGCAAGAGTGCTTCCACTTGTACGAATTGGTCACAAACCGCGCCATCAGACCTCCGGAAGCACGCGCCGAGATCGAGCGTGACGTTGTGGCTCGCACCGAGCGCGGCCATGAGTCGTCGCGCACTCGCGAGCGTGAGAGGGTAGTTTTCCGACAAATCAAGCGCAAAATGACGTCGGTTCTTGCCCGCGGCGAGGGCTCCGGCAAGCAGCGCCGCATCGTCGCCGTTAAGACCCGCGGCCGAGAGCGTCAATGTCTCCAGACCGCTCGTCATCCACATGGGCAGTGCTTGCGCGAGTGCATCCACCCCCGCCTTTCCGAGCTTCGTCCGTGTCAAGTCGACATATCGCAAGACGCGGGAGGTTGAGAGCCACCGGATAAAGTGAACGGCATCGTTTGACGTGCCGAAGGTCGTGCAACACACTGTGACATTCGACAAGTGCGCGCAGACATCGGTGGTCGTGACGTTGGAGAGGAACACGTCGTTGAGATCCAGCGCCTGCAGCGAGGGGTACGTCGCGAGGACGTTGATGAAGCTCGGGATGCGCTCGACTTGGAGATCGGCACCACTGAGATGTTGGAGGGCGAACGAGACGACGTTATTCGGGTTGAGCTTCCGGAGCACCTTGAGCGCGACAGGGGCGTTGTTGTCTTCGTACCCCATCTCACAGAGCGAGAGCGACGAAATGTTGTCTAGCGTTTTTGGCAGCGCAATCAACGCGTGTAGAAGGTCCAGCGCATCGTTGACATGCAACGACGTGAGCGTCGGACAGGCGTGGATCGCTTTGGCCAGTGTTCTCGGGTCGAGTGTCGTGTTGGCCAGAAAGGAGAGCGACGTCGCGCGCGGTCCTTGGAGCCACGCGACGATGGACGACGTGTCGACATCGGACTCGCCCAAAGCGTCGACCACAAGCGTGTGCAAGTGCGTGGTCGGCATCGCTGCCAAGAGCGGGGAGATGCACCTGTCGCTCTGGATTTCGACCGATTGGACGTTGCTGCAGCGCGCAAGCATTTCGGGGACCGGGTCGTTCTCGTCCTCATCCTCATCGCAGGCCTTGACAATTACCTTGGTGATGCGATCGCCCCAGGCGTAGGCAAAGGCACTGAGCGCACCCGGCACCGACGCATCTGCAACCAGCGTCACGGGCGCTTTGGGCGTCGCATCGAGCCACGCCAGCGAGGCCACGCCAGAGTCCACGTGCACGCCAGTAAAGGCAGGCAGCGCGGCAACGCCCAAGTGAGCATGCTCGATCGGAATCTTGGTCACGTGCACGACCGGCCAGTGCTCGTCGAGGGCGACGACAGCACCGAGGTCGCGAAGTGCGACGAGCTCGGGCGGTAGTGTCACCACCGGCAGCGCATCGAGCAGGATGAGGACATCGCTGTCGTCGTCCAGCATGTGGAGGAGGCCATGTAGAACGACGCCTGGGAGGCTCGACAACCTCGTGGCACGCTGGCACACGCGCTTGGTCATTTTTGAAATAGCTGGTGCGTGCGTTGTACCTCTAAGATTCGATATGTGGATCGAATTTATAGGGTTATGACGTGGCGCCAGGACATGCAAGGCCAGATTGCATTTGCGATGCCGTGAGAGATCAGGCACATGTACTGTCCGTAGATATAGTAGGTATGGTCAAGCTAGTTGTGTTTTTGTAATAGGTGAGGGATGAGTCTTCTTTTGTTTGCGGAATCCATGGGTCCACTAGAGCCGTATGACTGCGTTGAGATATGAACGCTAAACGGCGTGCCACGGTAACGGGCTGCGGGATGGCGACTGGAAGACACCGGGTGACACCTGCTGCAGCTGGTGCAGTTGTAAGAGGTCTTGGATTCTTGAGGCGTGGTCAGAAGCAGGACCATCGGCGTCTGCTTCAAAGAATGTATCCAGATGCAGCGTGACGGTCTGGCATGCACCAAGTGTCGCCATCAGTAGCTTGACGCTTGCGATTGTGAGAAGGTTGCTTCTCAAATCCACCGCCACAGAGCGTTGATTCTTGCTTGATGCGAGACCGACGGCTACGATGGCAGCATCATCATCACTACGCACGGCGCCTTGGAGCGTCAACGTCTCGAGGCCACGAGCCATCCACGCCGGCAGCGCCCGCGCCAGCTCGACAATCCCTTCTTTCTGGAGCGCCGTACCACTCAAATCGACTGACGTCAAGCAGCGCGAGGTCGAGAGCCACTTGAGAAGCGCAGCACGCTCTCGCGGCGTGTCAAAATCCGTGGATCGCACGCGCACGGTGGTCAGCTGCGGCCAGAAACCAGCCGTCCGGCTCGCGGCCGTCAAGTCGAGGTTGGTGAGGCTGAGCGTTGATAGCGCAGGACACATCGCGAGCGCATCGAGCACACTTGTCGTGACCACGTCGTCGCCTTCGTCGCCTTGGCATTTCTCGAGCGAGAACGAAACGACCTTGGTGCGATCGAGCTTCCGAAGCAGACTTACGTTCAAGTGGGCATCGAAGCCATCGTCGAGGATGGCGAGGGACGTGATAAGGTCCGTGATGACGTCACCAAGGCTTCTTTCAGGTCCAATGCATCGACGAGGCGCAACGACGTGAGATGCGAGCAATCGTAGATCGCGGTCGCCAGCGCTGCCGGATCTCGCACCGAGTTGCACGTGAGTGAGAGCGACGTCGCGTGAGGTCCTTGAAGCCATGCGATAATGCCCGATGCATTGACCGCGTCGTGGCCCCAGCCGTCATCGATCTCGAGCGTATGCAGCTGCTGGGTCGAGAGAGCGTTCATATACGTATGGACAGGCACAAAGTAGAACTCGATGTGGACCGATTGGACGTGGACGCAGCGCGCGAGGATGTCGGGGACCGGATCCTTACGGACATTGGCGCCTTGGACAATGACGGTCGTGACGCGGTCGCCCCAGACACGGGCAAAGGCGCTACAGGTGCCGAGCTCCTCGGGGCTCACGACCAACCTGATTGGCATCATCGGCGGCAAGGTCGCATCCAGCCACGCGAGGGCGGCGATGCCAGCGTCAATGTAGATACCGGCGAATGCAGGTAGCGCGGCAATGCCAAGGCGCGCATGCTCGATCGGCATCGTGGTGATGTTCACGACTGGCCAGTGGTCGGCGAGGTCGACGACGGCGCCGAGGTCACGGAGCGCAACGAGCTCGGGCGATAGCATCTCGGCTGGCAGTGCTGCAAGGAGGGCAGCCACGTCGCGCCCATCCTTCACCATGGCGAGGATGCCATACAGCACGACATATGGCAGGCTCGGCGACGTGGCACGCTGGCAGACGCGCTTGGTCATCTGTGGTCGCGGCAAAATGGATAAGTACCTCTACGAATGGATCGACCAAGGTATTCAATTTGGAGGGGATGACGTGGCACTTGGGGCTGCAAGGAAAGATCCAAATGGCGCGTACCGGTACTGCAATCAGCGACGAGACCACAGAAAGGCAACGTCACGCCGGCGGGGCCACAAGGGCACCACCTCGCACGAGTCGATGGTGCTCGAGGGCCACGCCGCCATCGTCAAGCTGCCCTTCCTCGACGACAACGACGCCTACCTGCTCATCGGCAAGGCGTCGATCGATCCCACCGCCCCGTACGTGCTGCTCGACGTCGGGCGCGAGGTGACCCTGCGCTATCGCAATGGCCACAAGTACATTTGGACGACGTAAAAGCACTTTGACCACCCAGGCGGCAACAAGATCCTCGGCGCCGACGTCGTCAGCGTCGTCGGTGGCATCCTCGACACAACGTCGTCACCAAGCTCACCACGTGGCACACGATAAGGCGCATGCAGCCTCCGCATCGAGACGCTGCCGTGCGATACCATCGTACGTCCTTCTCTGCCTGCGATTCCGTTGATGCAAACGAGGATGATGCTCATGGTGGTGTATAGGGCCATGTCGGGTATCAATTCACGGCGCCGGGCAAGTCCAAGGACGAAGGGTGTCTTACTTGTGCTCTCGCTTCGTCTGTACTAGTAGACGTGATCACCTCATGCTCATGCTTAGACTAGACGTGATCACCTCATGCTCATGCTAGTGCTTGTGGCCGGTTCTTTCAAGGCAACGGCGACCAGGTAGACGCAAGTTGCGCTGGATGCATGGACGATGGGCGATGGACGATGCGGTAGATGTACCAGACCTTGCACGTGGTGCGGGGCGGCCTTCCCACGACGACCACGGTCCAAGGCGACTACAAGTACACGCTGGGGATCCTTGCGTTTGCAACTGTTTATTGAGATCGAGAACGAGGTCGTCCTCTCTCTCCTGTCTTTTTTTGGCGTTGATGTTGGCGCAAGGCAAACGCGTCGATCGAGTGGGCGATGAGTGAGTGCGCAAGAAGCGACTGCCGACGGTGCCGTCGACGCTCGTCGACGAGTTTGCGATTAACCCTTAAACGCCTGAACGTTTTTTGCGGATAATCCGGTTAACCCGATCCTGCGTCGCCGCCGTGGCGATTGCAACCTACCATGTACTCTTGGCATCTCGCTCTGGGTTGTCTGATGTACCGATGGATGTAATAGCAAGCCAAGCATCTGGTGCACCCCCGTGAGCTCGTCCAGTGTGTCCGCGATATCATGAAGGACGCAGGCGTGCCTGTCAAGGAGATGGCCACGCGTAGGACCTCCTCGTACGCTGTTGGTGATTTGGACGCTTCTGGTGTTGCGACTAGAGGCTTCATAGCTTTTGGAGATGGAAACTTGGGGTCGGCAGGGTTTGAACCCGGCTAACTTGGTTCAAAATTCGCCAAACCAGAACCAACCTAAACCATTTTTCAACCAACCGTAACCACGAGGAAAACTGCATGGTTCAATCAAAGGTTAGCCGATTGGTTTAACGTGATAAAAGCATGCAATCACTACAAGTATAATATCATTTGTTTCCAAAGTTGTAGTAGCGAACAGCATCATCGCTTTCACTCATCGCGTCAACTCTCGCCTTATCCTAACGCTGGAAAGAATCGTGGAAGTCGTTGGGCAATGAATGTTGACTTGCTTGAACAACTGGATCCACGAGCGAATACTAGTCTCGGCCTTGAACATGGAATTGGAAGGCTGTCGCGGCCATGGAAGGTAAACTTGGCGGCGGAGTTGGCGCGCTCGGAGGGCACGTTTGAAGCCGGGACGGCCAAATAGTCCTTCGCCATGCGGTACAACCGCGGGTGCGTCTCGCTGTGGGGCTCCCACCAAGTCGAGGGATCGTCCAGACCTCGACATGCTCTTCACGGGCGTGTTCGCCACCGAGCTCGACTGCATGGCCGGGTACTCGCTATCCAAGGCTGAAAGCCACGCGGGTCCGTATCGAAGTGCGCGTCGTGCCATTTGACTGTCACGCGCCGTCGCTTTGCAGACGGCTCGGGCATCTGGGTCATATCGTCGTCGCTGCTCGGCACATCGTCAGCACCTAGCGGTAGTGATGGGTTGCGTGGATAGAGATGGCTGTATCGTCGCTGTCCTCGTCTGGTACGACGTACTCATCGCGGCGACGGATGCCACGACGAATAGGGGAGAAGTAGTCCAAAGACGGTTGGCTTTCGCAATCGAGGTACTCGTCGTGATCGCTCTTGCGTCGTTCGTCGCTGGTGAAACCGACAATATATGAAAGAATGCCAGGCTGTGAAATAGGATGCGTGTTTTTTGTCTTATAGCTACGCCGTGCTCTATCCGGCTATATCTACCGCTGATTCTGTGGTAGGCTTTTTGCACCCACCTCAGGAACTGTGTCTGAGCTTGCAGCGAGTTGGTTTTTTCTGGTTAGAAGGGTACGAAACTGACTCGGAACAAATTCAAAAAATCCAAACCACATTCGAACCAAACCGAATGGTTCAAAATCACCCGGTTTAACTCTTGGTTACTGAACCCTGCCGACCCCTAATGGAGACTTGTTGATGGTCGAGGGCAAGAAACACGAGGTGATATTGGCACGTTATGCGAATCATATTGTCTGCCTCTATGCTAGTTGGAGGTAGTGCAGCGTGCCGTCGTTTTTATCAACAGCGTACACAGTGTTGCCAACGACCTCGAAGAAAAAGCTCCACGTGCCGTCGTACGTCTTCCATTTCCCAGCCAACATGTCGGAGACGGACGTGACGCAAGATATGACGTTCGCAGCAGATACGACGCAGGCGGTGGGACCATCGGCGGCTGCGTACAATCCGTTGGCGACCTTGGTGTAGTTGGTGATTGCCTTCGTGGTCGCGTCCACGGTGGCGTAATAGATGCTGTAGCCATTGTCGTAGCCATAGACAAGTGCGCGGTCCTTGACAAACGCGCGTACCGCGTTGGGACGCCCGTACGTCCAGACTTGGAAGGACCCGAAGCCGTTGCCGTCGTTGGTCGCGCAGCGGAAATCAGGGTCTCGAACGCACAGCGTTTGACCGTCGGTGGGAGACAAATCTTTGAGAAGCCCCGTCACGAGCGTCGTCGCCACTTTCGTCGCCAAGTTGGTCATGGTGATGTTGTTTTGCTCATACGTTCTACTGTAGAGCACACCGATCGCGCATACATCGGTGGCCTGGCGGCGGCCGACGATGGTCTTCGTGTCGATTGGTGTGCCTGGGACCCACGCAACCACATGAGTACGATTGATAAAGCAGAGGCCTTGACTGTCGCCCGACACGCCGGAGAAACTCTTGCCAAGACCCAGCGGTTTCCATGTCGCAGGGGCTTCGGGCGTTGGCGCCGGTGCTTGAGTTGTAGAAGCCGGCGCTTCAGTTGTCGGGGCCGGCGACGCGGTCGTAGGCGCCGGTGCTTCGGTCGTCGGGGCAGGCGCCGCGGTTGTCGGAGCTGGCGCTTCTGTTGTCGGGGCCGGCGCTTCTGTTGTCGGGGCCGGCGTTTCTGTTGTCGGGGCCGGCGTTTCTGTCGTCGGGGCCGGCGCTTCAGTTGTCGGGGCCGGCACCGCGGTCGTCACAGTGGGAACCGGTGCAGTCGTCGGGACGTCTGCGCCGCAGCCTGCGTGCTCCGTGGCGGAAGCCGCGAGAACGAAGGTCGCGCACACGGCGAGGCGCAAGAGGACTGCCTTCATGGTACCGAGTTGGCAAATGCAAAAGTGAGGAACTATACGGTATCACCAGAGCTGTTGTCAGATGATGCATCCGTAGAGAGAGCGCGTGCAGATGGCCACGGATTCGATGGTCAGTCGAGCATGTGTACTCTCGTCACTCCCAGTCTTAGTTCCACTAGTTTATCCGGATGGTACGGACAGAAGCAGTCGCCAAGAATGGCCAAGACCGCCGGTGGTCGCCTGGCACATTGGTGTAACCGCTACGACGACAACGCGCTTCCTTGCGCAAGAGGCAGTAGACCAGACTCTCGACGCTTGGACGACGTCCAGTGCATAAATACTGGCGAGTACGCTGGCGCATCCGTCGAGTCGTATCTTCTCCGAGCTTCTCGAAAGAAACGGAGCACGTGTTACACCGCATTCTCTATCAGCGCCTCTTGGCTGCTTGCAACGCGCCGAGGCCATTCATTCATACGCACTTGTACTGTAGCAGGTGTAGTGGGTGCAAGCAAATCCAATCGGACGTAGTACGAGCTTGATTGCGCCCCACGCGGGCACCTTTCTGCGTGGGATGCGAGCCCTGAACGCAAGAAAGGCTCGATGGGCGTCGTATCTGCTAGATGGCGGTGGATGGGACGCGGCGCGTTTGGTGTCGCATCCGTGTAACGCGTTGGTGCTTCGGCTTCAGCGGCGCCTATGTGCCACAATCCCGTGCAAAACTCCCAGATGTCGGAACAGATGAACAACACCACGTTCCGTCGCGGCAACGCGTGGCGTCACCACGAGTTTTTTTCAACAGTTACTACTTTTGACCCAATATTTGCAAAAGTTACTACCTTGCGAGCCTATATTGAAAAAAGTTACTACCTCGACGGGATTGGTCGAAATGCTGAATAAAGCCTGCGAATCAATAAAGCCTGCGAATCAAGATGGAGCTCACGCAAATAGTGTTAAATGTATCTGAAGGCGTGGTCGCTCCAGAATATGGATCCGTTCGTTTTAAATTCATTTTAAAATAAGTGATTTTAAAATGATTTTAAAATATGGCGATTTGATAGCGAATGTTCGAATTAGACATGCGTCGACAGCTTGGAAATGCCCTTGTCGTCGACGTTGGCTCACGCGACGGTGCTTCCCTCGAGGGACTGGTGCAAAACAACCTGCTCCAAGCACTCATCTGGCGTAAGAAGCAAATGCAACGCATCTTCAACATCTTGACCGTCTGCTTGGATCGCAGTGGGTCGCCGGTCGACAAGGTTGAGCTCCTTGTCGTTGAT